ACAGTTGGAAATGTGCTTACGACTACGTGTGTACAACTCGTGGCAAAGGCTACGAAGTCGAGACTCAAATCTTTATCCTCCTAACCCAAACCCAACTGATTTGACACATGATGTGATCTGTGTCATATAGTGACCTGTGCATACATGCGCTCCTCGAAGTTTGTGCAACTGAGAAAACCGATCTATAACTAACAGTGGTGCACAAACGATGGGTTTCATTGATACTTGCAGATCATTTCTGTGACAAAATAGTGCAGGTGTTTAGGACATGGTTGATCGTTTATTGCGTAATTATCTGAGGGGAACGAGGGTAAGGAGTGTTCAGACCGTGAACTGTCTAATACTATTATAATCCAAAAAGGCTGTACTCGGCTGAGGACATCCGTTTATTTCTAATAACGGTCAGGATATGGTTAAATTGTCATTCACAGGACAGTTGATGAAACGGTCCACTATCAGATGCGCATTCCTGTTTTCACCATACCGAGCAGCCATCGTTCGCTCCAACAGGTCTTGTTGGCTTTTGGTCGTTGAAAGATACCGCTGATCACATCTTTTTGCGTACCACTCACAAGTAAGTATGATTTCAACACCATTACTACTATCACTGGTAATACTAGTTGCTTGTTGTACGAAAAATAATGGAGTTTGAAACTCAGTATACCGGATATCCTCCTACTTATTATCCAAACCACCAGTTCAATTCACACTTCTATGTACTTGGCGCAAATCAAAGTAAGATGAATTTAAGCACCATGCATTGCAGACATTCACAACATGCAACAGCACCACTGCTAAACAGATTGTAATGGCAACCAAAGGATCCAGGTTTATTCATGAAGCTTACACTTTTGATCATGGTTTTTGAGACTCCGCTTATGACGTTATAGCGTTCATCTTGTTACTAAGGGATCTACTAATTAGCACAAATGTGCATATGCATCCTGTCAGAAAGGCACAAGTTAAGACTTTCAAATGGGGGAGGGGATATCCCTTCGATTACTCAAAGCTGGGAAGTAGCCGCCCATCAATTAATCGACGATTCATTTTCTCACTAATCAGTTCAACCATGTAGTAATTTCAGTCAATTTCTATAGGAGCTACCTCCGGCGTTAAAAGTGCCAAGCGGCTTTATCGCCTTAAGTAACCCAAAATATGATACAGATAGCGTACAAAGGTTTGCCACCACACCGCGACCCGCGCAGATATATAATGAAACTTATTTTTTAGGGATCAAAGTTATAAAAGGGTAAAAACAGAAGCTGAAATTTGTTTACAGAATCTTGCTTTTACTGAGGACATTGCTGCACATTCTATCCCTCACAATTTGAAATTACAAAGTAAGGATATACCTATGCTTATCTATACAATGATATAAACAGTCTCATTGCAAAACAAAGCTTCTGTAAATCAACGAAAATTCAATTAGTATTTTTCACTTCAAGCGTCCGAAAAACTTCGATCATTAAAATTAGCTCTACTGCGCTTTAATGCACTACAGCCGTTGAAATCCTCACCATCATTCGCACTCCCGGGGCTAATTTTGAAATTTAACTCTGATAAATGAATTCAGATTTCAAGCCCAAATAAACTGCCCCGCAAGGGATATATCATTCGTATATTTCTGAGAAATTCATAACCTTCAAAACGTTTCCCTTAATGATAAGTGGGATGTTGCATTTTATCCATAATCGAGAACAGTCATTTTCCTTTACACAGAAATCACGAAATCTCCTCTCATAACAAGGCTTGTGCACCAACCTCTGACCACCTGACACCTCTGACCAATTCAAAACTGCACCCAGATCCTCAGGACAAAATTCATTAAAAGCTAAAAGAGACGTTATTTTCATGGACTATCCTAGCTCGTGTACACTTACGCTGTTACGCCCAAGTCTGAGTTGCATTTTATGTGTTCTCTTCCCCCACATACTTCATTATTTTGCATTATTAATTTTGTCCAGGAAATATATTTTTATGGTTGGGTTATAAAAGCCTTCGAAAAAGCTTTTTAGTTCAAGGGCTTATACTTAGTTATCGTAAAGTCCTTGAAAATTCTCAGTTTGCAGTGAGAAATCAGTTGATGTGATCAGTTGAGGGACCCGTTCGAAAGCACGATAAGAGGCACGTGAGCCTGTCGTTTCCCTAGGTATCATTCTAACGAATCGATAAAGCTCATTTAAATGCTCTGGGCACTTCTCACTCTGTTTTCCACTGAAAATGAGCCAACGACTACGACTGAATACTTCACTAAGCAGATTTCTAATATACATGAGATGGATTGATGTTATCATGAAGATCGCTGTATTTCAATCAGTCAAAGCCGTCAACCAAAACGAACAATTTAGAACACGAATACAATTCTAGTTAGAGGCATAGACGGATAATTAGACCACTGACGGACGCATACCTCAGGTAACATTTTTTAGGTTTGAAGTTTTCCATTGTGTATTACTCGATCCGAAGGATATTCATCTATACGGTTTGGAGTTTGTAACCTCCATTGTCCTGTACAAACAAAATAGGTGTTCTTCTTTTGCGGTTTCCTAATCTGGTCTACTGACTACCAATATCGTATGCACCTGAATTAGACGAATACTGATGTCCATCATCCAAGGTTATCTCGTGCAATAAACCCCCGGTAAACATTTATGACTTCGGCAGATGCTTTTTAAAACGGAAAGTGAAAAAATGCCAATAAAAAGATAAAGAGGGATTTCGAAAATATTTTGGTAGTAACGAAGAACACCTCTACCTATCAATGCGTTAATTGACTCTTTATGGGAAACTAGTCTTGCGAAAAACTGCAGTCTGTAAACATCCATACACGTTATTTATCACTTTTTGAACAGATTATCTAATATCAAGTTCTTTAGGTTATTTTTATATTTTTGAAGATACTCCAAAAATGAATGAAGTATCTCTTTGGAAATAGTGATGAAGGAGTACAAAACGGTGCCTCATATATGAGCGCATTGTATATTTGTTCGTGCTTCAATGGGCTAAATAGCCACGTGTTGTTTATTTGGATTGAGTTTTCGCACGGTCTGCAAATGCAAGAGAGTGGGAGACGACAATGATGAGCACTGTATAATTGACTGAGAGCACCTAGTCGAACTGTAATTGAGCATACAGCCCAGCTGAACATTATTAGCCATTCAATCCCGCCATTCTATTGCTCCATCGATCTGTGGTGTACGCGTGTCTTTTGTTCGACTCAATAACTGATTTGGCCCTCACACCCTCATAGCGCTTTCTCATTTTATTTCACCCACGGGAGTGGGGAAGAAGTAAATATATGAACAATAAGATGTTAGCACGAAGATAACAAGTGGGAGAAAGGTAATAAGTGAGGCATCAAACGTTAGTTTTTAATAAGGAAGTGGAAACCCATCACCGATGAAAGCATCATTATAATCTGAGTTCCGGTTTTCTTCAGCCCCAGGACCGACTCAATAACACATTCTTGCTTCAGGTGAACCGAGCACAAGACAAAGCTTTTCGATTTTGACCATTCAAAAACAGCACAACTTTATAGGATTCGTATATTCTCGACCATACATTCATGAGCAAAAATTGTGCGTCATCTTTTCTAAACTGTTTATCTAGAATAAACACAGGTACGTGCTTTTATTTAAAAGATTAAAGCTTAGTTTACTAAGACGTTCCTTCGCACTCTAGTCAGAAACTGGTTGGGAAAAGGAGTCTTGATTTTCACATCTGTTTGAACAACCCCAGCAGCATTACTCATGATCACAGTTTACTTGCAAGCTAAAAATGATAAGCTTTAAATATTGGGGAATTGTCGTAAACTGATACCTATTATCAAGATGATTATTTGTACCATGTGGCTTCTGTTATTCTTTCCTTTTTCTTGTCCGTTATACTTTCGTGTCAATTTGGAATTGAAGTTTCATCGGAGCTTGTTGATTTATGCTTCAATTTGCTCAAAACAGATACAAAGTAGGCTTCTTCATTCATGATGTCTCACCTCCCATTAGGTGAAAGCACATATTTATGCAGAAGAACATACGGTATTGTGATATTTAACAAATGCGTGAACAGGGGAGACACAATGAATTGCTTTTGAAACACAACTACCGAGACCATTTTTGTTATTTTACAACTTGCCAGATTAAAACCTCAGTATGGTCGGGGATGGGCATCTTGGGTGGCCGATCACCCTTACTTTGCACCTGGCGAAATGCTCCCGTACGACCAAGCGTCTCAGATAGCCTCTATCGGGGGAGCCCTACTCAATGCCCTCACTTGGCGTAGGTGCTTTCCCAGCAAAGCGAGAGAATGAAATACAATACCCGGGGCTATAACCGAGTTGGTGAACCACTGGCAGTTAACTTAGGGGAGCTGGGTAAAACCCTGATTCCAAGCCATCGAAGGCGTATGAACCACACACACCTTCCTGGACAGGGTAGTGGTCAACGGCTCAATTGGATCTTGAGTTATTTTGGACAACTTAGACATTTGATCTCTTGCAAACCAAGTATGATCCGATGAACTGGACACCGACCCCCAGTGGATTGTGGTTTTCATACACTACCCCACTTCTTTGTGGGTCAGGTTTCGGTTAGCCGGAGGCTTTGGTTATCAATTACTTAAGAAAATTCACATGGACAACCTGGCAGTATATATATATATATATATATNTTCTGTTTTGCGTCCCGTGAATTCGATCGACGAACTTCCCGAATCAGAAAGCTGTTCATAATAGCAATAGTGAGCAGTGGAATTCCAACTACTGGGTTGCACACAAAAAGTAACAAGGCGAATGAAACTAAATAATTCAACTGAACACCACCTAGTTTCTCATCGATATCACAATGAAATTGTGAAAATGACAATATTTTTCTCATACAATGAAAAGGGGACAAAAATCACCATTTACCTGACAGATGAAAAATATAATAATCACTCCAATGAGCATGATATCCGTCTCTTGCTTTCGTGTCTCTCTTTGCCGNCCGTGAATTCGATCGACGAACTTCCCGAATCAGAAAGCTGTTCATAATAGCAATAGTGAGCAGTGGAATTCCAACAACCAGTAAATTCCATGACCACAAATGATAGATGCTACGAAAGCTTTCGGAACGTCCGAATTCCGATAAATCATACCAAACAACACGCTGTTCAGTATGATTTGCAGGTTTCTTCGTATCTTCAAAACCCAGTGCTTTGGTCATTTCGGAGTCGATCAGAACATCGGGTGGAATGACGAGTTCGAATTCGGTGTATTCGAAATAGCGCGGAATCCCATAGATCACGCTTGCCAGATATATGGTGAAAATGATGCATTTGGCCAGGCGTACAGTGCACCAACGTTTTGCAGTGAACGGATGACAGATCATCATGTATCGATCCGAAGTAAATGCAACGGTCAACCAGACCGAGGTTACCTGCGTGAAAGAGATTAGATGAATAATGATGTTTGTTTGTTGATTGCGTTTGCATCAATCGAGTAGGTCAAAGAATTAACCCAATTGTTGCGCAATGCGCACACAATCTTATTATTTCTATTCATCAAATTCCAATTAGAATAACTTGATATGTTGTTGTTTTTATTGCTAGAGTCTTTTCGAGTATATCAGTATCATTAACTTTACCTATTTGGCTGCTTTTTGTTTCTTAGTACAAACTGTCAAAATCAACCGTAGGGAACAAATAATTTTCGATTTTTATTTAATTTTACAATATTCGCTCTCCTTTTACAACAAAAACAAATTGATTCCTTCAGGTTTAGGGAAAAGATCCGGAATATCTGATATATTAGTTATCATAAAGTCATTTACTTTATTTCGACTAAATATTTAGAACACCTGCGGTGTTCTCATAAAAGAAGACTATTTAGTTAAATCCCCATGTTATGGGACACATTTACCAATAAAACCAAGATGTTAAGTTGCTAAAGGTATGTGTATTATTATTCTTAATATGCATTCCCGAGTAAATAATTGAATGAAATTTATTTGTTTGTTTGCGTGAACACATTATTCAAAAAATGATTATCATACACGTGTTGAAAATATTGTTATGATAACACCTTATTTTGAGATAACCGGCGTAAACAGCTGGTTGTTGTGCTCCATGGGGTTTGGAAAATACGTACAGAGCTCGCTCATACCTCATATACTGTAAAAGTAGCTAAACCCTTTAATTTAATTAATTGATTCATGTGATGCACCTTAATGCTCAAACTTGATTACGACAAAACTGGTTCGTCCTTGGTTGAAGAAACAAAGTGATTTTGTTTCCGGTTCTAATGGAGTACGCTGGATGCGCTATCAGAAGCAGTTTCGTAGGTTTTGATAATGACCCCGAACAGTAATATCAAATGAATCTTCAAAATTCATTTCTCAAGATAAATGGAATGTTGATTGGTTAACACGGTTGAGAAAAATACACCCCTTGATTTTATTTTATTGGGAGTTAGCATTTTTCGAAATTCATGATTAAATCAACAAATTACCAAGTAATTTTACTCAACAAAAATTGAAACCAGTGTTGGAAACTTATGGTAAATTTTCTCCATTCATTAATCGAAATTACATACATAAGATCTGCATTTGAAGAGAGACGAACCAAAGCACGAGGTTGACATGTTCGCATGTTGACAGCAAATGTAGGTTTTGTTGGTTCTTGAAGTTACTGTTGCCCTTGGAAACAACTTTTATGCAATCAAACTGAAGAATTTACTCGGAAGTTAAAATTCGGCGTAGATAACATTGAGTTTCCAATGTGTGATGATTAAGTCGAAGCTGAACCGAAAAAACGAATAGTGAGATATTTTCGTTTCTTCCTCTTGAAAAAGAATTCATCAACTAAGCAAAGAAGTCAGGTTCAGATTGCATCCAAACGAATCATAATCATAAAACCTATCGTTCAGATGAGCAATGACAGTCAATCCGTGTTGTTTCGCATCATTGGATTGTGTTACTCCATGTACAGAAAGTTTCCCTTTCGGACGTGCTGCCTAGTGAATAAACGGACTATAGGTCTGCGGTTTCCAAGAGATTGATATATATTTGGATTGATACTCTTGCAGTATTACAGAAAACCATCAAAAAGAAAAATGAGAAATTCCCTCCAGTTTTTCAAAGCAATTTCTTTACTTTTATACTCACAGGGAAGCTCTTTGCATAATACTTGGTTTCATTTTGTCCGTTGTTTTGATTTTTGTTGTATATGGTAACCTTTGTACGTCAGAAAAGAAGGCGAAACAGAGTGCAAAATCTGATTAGTAGAGCAGTTTAACGATAAAATCAAAAAGCTTATGTATCGGGCTATGGGTTGACGTTTTAAGGGGAAACGCACAGAGTTGTTAACGTAGAAATGCAACAAAATAAACATGGGATAATATGATAATGTTTGTGCATCAAGTTACCTTTAGAAATTTCATAAGAGTTGGAACATCCGTCATCACAAGAAAGGTGCAGTTCATCTGTTTTGTATTATTTTCGAATAAGTTGACAATGAAGGCCTCCGTTGCTGGGCTAACCTAATTCTCTTTGAGTGAAAAGATACGCACCAAAAACGCGTTCATTATTGAGTACCACAATTATGTGAATCAGTCAATCAGAAATTGAATTGAATTAACGGAAATTATTCCAAAAGAAACGGACCTAAACGTTCCGTAAAATACTGTTTGAGCTGAATAGTTGTACCAACGAATTACTCGCATGATTATTAAAAAAATTCATACCATCATAGTCCTGAGAATCAAAACATTGTAACATATTATGGGTCATAACCTATCTTTTCACGGAAACTTCGGAACATTTGAATTGAACATAAGTTGAGAGCAGTTTAGCTCGTAAAACCACTACCCATGCCCCTTCGTGCGCCAGTTTCATTCCCCCGTTTTTGGTAGTCCGTTTAGATGTAGTAAGGAAGACTGAAATGTCAAAGCCTGTTTGACTACCCTTGATCTTTTTCCACCCAATACTTGCCTAGGCAAATTTTACGCGTCATGGGAACCTATTTGGTGACATGCATAATACATGCTTCAATCATCGGAGTCTATAAAGTTCAACCACTTGTTCCAGTAGTCAACCACGACTAACTTAAACTCTTCTCCTAACCCAAGCATTGCTCGTCCGGCTACCCCACCAGATTCGTGTCATGCTGCATAGACAGCGATGTTCGAACACCTAGAGTCTGTTCTTCTACGCTGCGTAGCAGAATTGGCCGAACTGCTGCAGCAAATACTCGACCCTTCACAGACAGCCGGTTATCGCGGTGGCGTCACAGATTTCTCATTTTGGGAAATGTCAATCGAGCCTTATGCATACAAGCTGACAATTCATTCGTGATGCGTGCCCCGGGTGAGATATGGCTGTCCAAATGACGAAACTTGTTGAAGCGGTCCATTACTTCCCCAGGAACGATGAGGCAGGGTGCAACATTTTACACTTTGAAGGTGCAAAATGAATAACAAACTTAGCTAGACTGGCACTCAAACATTGCGCTAATGCTCTCAAATTACCTGCATCTTTACTTAGCCACATAATACTCCAGATCAGGTAGGGTGCCACTTTTCTTGCACGAGGATAGGGCTGTTTCCATAATCAAATGTATAACAAAGTTAAATAGAAACGAAAAGAAAGAGCAACCCTGACAAACACCACTCTCCGTGATGAACTCATGTGAAAAAGTGCCTTAAGCTCGGAATCGACTCTGGCTATTAGCTTAAGGGGATTGCAATATTTAAATAAACATCTCGGGCACATCCTTCAGGAAAAGGAAAAGCCAGAGTTTAGAGTGGTCGACTGAGTCGAAGGTTGCACTGAGATCAAGGAAGACAGAAATGGCGTGTCTACCAAAACAGCTTTGGATTTCGAGAACCTAACGAAGAGTGAAAAATGGTGTATACAATCAGGTCTCAAGCTAGACTAGTTATCATACGCGCACCCTTCAGGTGCGCAGGAATCAACAGGGTAAGATGGAAGCGAGAAGTTTAGAGACAATTTGGACCAAGTAAATTCGTCTGTTGATGTTCGTAAGAGGATCTTATAAATCGGTAATATAATCGACTCACATGTTTTAGTTTAAAGTTTTTCTTTCTCCCAAACTGAACTCAGGAGTTTTGTCAACTGCAAGACTAATATCGAAATATGGGAATAAATTATGTTGATTTATTTGAACTGACTACTCTTTGGACTTTACCTTCAGGAACAATCCTCAGTTCATCGATTCAACCATACGCTCGGAAGCACTAGACTCAAGTTTTGCTCTTATTAGAGCTCATCGGTAGTGCATATCTACCGTCCCACCCGGGATGTGAACTCCGGACGCATCGCATGGAAAGCCTGTGCGTTACCACTGCGCCAACCAGCTCATACTATAGCTGAACCAAATTGTCAATTCTTGTTTGTTCAAGTGTCGTCTTCGGTGCTTGCCAGTTCATTTAGCCTGACAGCAACCAAGGGAGACAGATGGCCATTCGTTAACTCTAACTGAGCTCTAATAACAGCAAAACTTGAGTCTACTGCTTTTGAGTCTATGGTTGAATCGATTAACTGAGGATTCTTCCTGAAGGTGAAGTCCGAAGAGTAGTCAGTTCAAATAAATCAACATCAATTATACCATACCACCACTCACAAGTAACTGTGAGTCAAATGCGAATAAATTATTTGCATCCCGTTGGAAACTCTGCATGCAGACCAAAGTCGATATACCTACCTTACCTACTCGTCAAGTTCGAGTTAGGTAAGACGTCTGAATTTCACACAATACCTGCAAATTATGAATGGGTATTTGAGTTAACACATTCTAGGAGGTGAGTGACAGTTAGTTCGTACACGTGCCCTTAGTTATTTATTCTCCTCATTCATTTCCTACCAAATTATTCTGTTTCAAAAATAAATTACAGCATGGACAAACAAAGCTGTGGTAAATTGAAGCTCAAATAAATGTGAATACATTAAGATATAAAACGAATAAAACTTGATAGTACAGTTGAACAATTTACGTCCTTTTAGTACTAGGCGAGCATCGAAGGTGGTATATCTCGAACATAAATCATGCATATTGTCTTGTTAGCTTTGTTTTGTTCACTTTGGTTATTTAAGTTATATATTGAACTGGAGTTATTAGAATATATCCAGAAAGTTGAGGAACCAGTTCACATTTCTCACGTTACGCTAGTTTTCCATCATATCTAACCGGTAGCATTTCGGATCAGTTGTAAAAAATTACCTATAGTTCTTGAAATATATAATCTTTCAGCAAACACCAAATAATATCTTAACTATGCACATTTTAAAACGCTCATCTGCTTGGCAGAGCATTTAAGACAAAGCCGGATGGCTTAATAATAAACAGCATAATGCGAAGCATAACTGAATTGATTCTACCATTTTTATCGCTTCTTTTTTCACAAATAACCCATTTAATTGCGTAATGCATCCTGTTTGATCAACTTTCACTGAAATCATCCTACCATGGGTCCTCAAGCTATGCGAGAATAATTGCCGCAAAATGTGAAAGAATTTAGTTTAACCATGATTTATTCTTTAGAGGCATCTTACTGTTTTTAGTTGTATTCCTTTCCCTCGCATTTTATCAGACTTTGTTCTTATTAAAAATTTTGAATATTTCATTATGGCTAAAATTAAGCCCTTTTATTTCATTAAAACATTTTCTGTCGTGTGAGCTTGTTACAGGTTATAATGAGAATTGAAGGTGATATCAAAAAGCAGCAAAATTCTTAACCTAAAATTTTGGTGAACGTAAACTATCGAAAACTTCGTCATGAAATTTAAATAAAAAGTAATTTTGATCTTAAAATTATGTGGTTTTTCGCTCAATAATTCATAAAGTTTATTTAATAGTTCCATTATTGAATGGTCACAATTGCTACATGAGAGTAGTAAATGAGTGAACTGGGGAATTTTTTGTGTACAAAGCAAATGAAATGTGAACGGACAAACTAGGAAGCACTAGATGAACGTCTTGACATGAATGGGTCTTATTAACAATGGTGGTGCAGATTAGGGGTTTTTAATTTGCTACCTTTAGCGTGTTCGGGGCTTGAAGATCCGAAGTTCAAACACTATCATTACTACTCGTGTTCTCTAGTAGGTGATTTGCCCTAATTCAGCCTATACCATCTTTCATTGCAATAATTGACGTCGTTAAGATTTTAATAATGAACTACTGTTAAATGTATTATGTGAGTCATTATTTATACCTTCATATGCATGATTTTCAAGATTCCTGCTACCATCAATGAAAAAGCCGAAATAAAATCAAGACTGCGTGTACGTTGGTAAATCACCTTCACTTGCTCAACATGACTTCAACAAACCAGTTAAACTTGAATTATTGAGTTCCTCAAATTCACTGACAAGCAGCTTCCTGTTTGGAGACTAAAGAACTGAAACGGTATGATGAAGGACCTTGTGTCTACAGAAAGGAAAAGATTTTCAAAATGACTATTATGAAAGTCAGTTTCATGGTACAACTAAGGTATAAGGGTATCGAAATTCGTGGAAAATTAAATTTACTTTTATGCATCCCATGTAAGCGACAGATGGACGGGCAATATTCACCTCGGGAGAATAGTGGTCAGTCGAGCACTCCAGAACAGCCACCGGAAAAGTGACATG